GCGAAATGATTCAGAACTCTTGATTCAACAATTCATTTGCATCAGCAATGTGGCTTTTATTAATATATAATATTTATTTTTTTAATATATATATATATATATATGTTATAGTTAGTAATTTTACTAACTTATTTCAATGCATTTTTTAAAGATTTTTTTTTTTAGTTTTTTGAATTGAGCTTTTATCAATTATCAATTTTTTTTATAGTTTTAATTAACAATAACAACATTGCTTTCCACCATCTTCCATTTATTTTGTGTTTTAAATGTTTTGGAAGTTACTTAAGTCTTTCTATGGCTTATTTTTTTGCTAAACTATTGTGTGATATAAAAAAGCACAATTAAATAATATTTTCACACATATTTTCCCTATATATTCACATAATTTGTCAAAAGTATAACCCGATTGGAAATGATATATTACATTTACAAGTCATGTTTTGATTTTTGCTCTTCACTGACACTGTTGTGTTCTTGATAAACACATATACAGGTGCATCTCAATAAATTAGAACGTCGTGGAAAAGTTCATTTATTTCAGTAATTTAACTCAAATTGTGAAACACGTGTATTAAATAAATTCAATGCACACAGACTGAAAAGGAGCTCCTACCAAGTATTGAGTACATGTACAGTAAATTAACATACTTTCCAGAAGGCCAACAATTCATTAAAAATGTTTTTTTTTATTGGTCTTATGGAGTATTCTAATTTGTTGAGATAGTGAGTTGGTGGGTTTTTGTTAAATGTGAGCCAAAATCATCACAATTAAAAGAACCAAAGACTTAAACTACTTCAGTCTGTGTGCATTGAATTTATTTAATACACGAGTTTCACAATTTGAGTTGAATTACTGAAATAAATGAACTTTTCCACGACATTCTAATTTATTGAGATGCACCTGTACTAACTTCAAAAAATAAATAAATAAATAATGTTAGAGGCAAAACTGTTCATATTGATATTTTGCCTTTAAAAACTCCCTTCGGTTCCCATATTTTAATCCTGACTTGAGGCATCTCCCAGAGGAAGCTCTTTGAGTTAATACTGATATGCACAGTCATAATCCATCATGCTGTTTCCTGTCAGGCCTCTTGTCATGAATATGCAGAGTAGGTCTTGCCACAGATACTCTAGAGATGACGCTGATGCTAATTAAGCATAAATGCTGAAGGTTAGCACACTTGATGTTGCCAAATGCAGCATGTGATGACCAGCAACATTTTGGAACTACATCCACCACTTAATGTGAAGCTAACAGTATTCGCAATGGTCTCCAAACCTCTCACAAAAGATATGGAAATAGATTCATTGCATACTTTAACGTGTCATATTTCCTGCTTTATTTAGCAGGCACAGGAAGAGAAGTGTCCCCCCGACCCGCAAGCCTCCAGCTCGCCCCACCGACGCCCACTGCTTGGTCCACCCCTCCCAGAGCCATCACGGCAACCCAGATTTGGGATCCCCAGTGATGGGCCACTACAGTCCGCGGGACCTGCTGAGAGGAAGAGGATACATGCCCATGGACAGTCCCGAGAGACGCAGACGGACCGGCCACGGCAGCCTGACCAACATCAGCCGACACGAGTCCATGAAAAAGATGGAGAGCCCTCCCATCCGTAGGTCCACGTCTTCAGGCCAGTACACAAGCTTCTCCGAGCCTCACGGCAAGAGTCTGGATCCAGAGAGCATCGCACAGGTCAGCGGGAGGCGAGCGACGACGCCCCTCACACCATGCGCAGCAGGCCCAGCCCTGTAACATAGTCAGTTACTGCCTCCTGTTACTAATGACTAATGCGTATCTGCAACACACACTCACACACTGGGGCTCGTTTATGAAACACAAGCAATGAAAATATATAAATCACTCAAAATTCAGTTCAAATCTGCCGTAAGCCAGTGATTCTCACCCTTTAGGACTCCAAGCTGCCTAGTTGGACAAGACAGTATCTGAAGGCTGACCATTTTGGCTTGTTTTCAAACTTTAGGTACAGAAATAATTTTAGCGCAGTTAATTTTGGGATTGTTTCATAAACTGAATGATCTTCAGGGTTCTCATTCTTTTTAACAATTGACTTTACATGAAAAGGATTTTTACAAATATTTTGACCGCCAAAGACCAAGTATAAGTAATTGAAATAATTCTACCCTGTAAAATAACAGAAAAAAATATATATTATAGAAATATCCATGACATTATAATATTTGACTATTATTATTATTATTTTAGGTCTAAACTTTGTCTAGGCCCAAGACCCTTAGTTCTTACATAAAAATGTTTTTGAAAATTTTTTTAGCCATTTTTGCTTATTTTAAAGCCTGTTTTGTCTTATTTTAAATATTTTTTAAACAGTTATGTTTGTGAGGCCTCCCTAGTGAATTTACATGACTTTGTCATTCATGATTACTTAAAAAATAAAATAAAAATACTTTTGAAAGAGAGAGCGATTTCTACCCAATAAAACATTTTAGAAACTAGATCAATTAGACAAATGTATATTAATTCTAAAAGCGTTCCTACATTTATTATATTTTTATTTATTTATTTTATTTTATTTTAAATTGTTTTTAATATAAAAATCACATTTTTAAAATTCAAAAATGTTCAAGACCTTGGAAAACCTGGTTATTAAATAAAAAAAATGTAAGTTGTCAAATTTAAAATAAGAATTTGTAGCTGTTTTTTTGTTTGTTTGTTTGTTTTTTCAACTCATTTGTCTTATTTTAATAAATTATTTTTAACTCTTGAAAATTTGATGAGGAAGTGTGAATGACTTACAAACAGTTCACACAAATTAATTTGGCTTGTGTTTCATGAATAAGGTCTATTTTCATAATTCAAATATTTCAATATTTATTGAGTTCCTATCTAGCCCTCCCCCCCAAAAAAATACTTTAATAACTCCCCACTGGTTTCACATTTTCAGTGTCTCTTTAATAACTGTCTCATGCATTGTTTCACTTATACATCAGCTTTGTTTAATACTAATAATCTGACCATTTCATGAACACATATTTGATCTCAGTAGACGTGATTCATCATGTTGTCTGCTTGTATTGCCATTTGTTTGATGTTAATTGTTATAATTCTGACCACCTACACTTCTCTGTCTCTTTCTTATAGGACATAGAGGAGACGATGAACACCGCTCTAAATGAGCTGAAGGAGCTCGAACGGCAGAGTTCTGCGAAACACGCCCCTGACGTGGTGCTGGACACCCTGGAGCAGATGAAGAATGCTCCCACACCGGCCAGCTCCACCGAGTCCCTGAGCCAACTCCACGGTCTCCTGCTGCGGCCCACCGTCACGGAGCCGCCCATGCGCCGCAGCACCAGCTCCTCCAGCGATACCATGAGCACCTTCAAGCCCGCCGTGGCCCCGCGCATGGGGGTGCAGCTCAAGCCCCCCGCCCTGCGGCCCAAACCCATGGTGGCCATACCTAAGACGGGAGCGGCGCAGCATCCGGCGGCTCCTCCACAGGATCCACTGGACAAATCCTGCACCATGTGATTCATTGTGGGCGAAACGTTTAGGGACAAAGAGGACCGCTGCTGTCAGAGCCAGATTTATAGTGAATTTTATTGCCAATGAACATGGTGACGTGTGGTTCTTCATTTTTGCAATATTTCATTCAGAGAGTGGACTAAGCAAATATAGATAACTAAAGATACTAGAAATACGTTACTGTGGTTAATGAGGTGATGGTAGTTAGTGTGTATACAATTCCAACACTATTAAAGGGATTATTAATAAACTAGAATAACATCGGTCACTAAGCATGGTTCTGAGGAAGAGTAGAGTTAGTTAAACAGGTGTTTACTATTTCAGAAAGTTACATTTTCTCCCTGTTTAGTCGATTCCAACAAACATTTTTAGATATTCTAGACACCTGCAACTAACGGAAAGCAGTTTATTTGTTTTCAGATACTGTTTGCATGCTTGTCTGACACCTTATTTTTTCCCGCAATACTCTGTGTGAATAGATTAAGGAGTTGTGACAATGATATTAAAGAAAGCAACAAATCACTACAGCTTCCTACGGTATGTTGTTAGGGTGACTTTTTCTATATCAGTAGTTTACATCCACTAGAAAAACTGCTAAATGTGAATAATACAGAAACTAAGCAGGGTCTTTGGTTTCTCTGTTTACAGGATTAGGATTGTGGGAAATGTGTCTCTTTAAATCTCAGAGTGATTTCTAGTCTGGACTCTTTGTGGAATGTTGACGTTGGAAACGCACTGCCATATAAGGGCATGTGATGTCACATCTTCTGCCCGTCCTGATTGGCAGTCGATGTTAACATTAAAGTTGTATCAGCAAGGCTTTACTTTGAATATTATATTTTTGATAGTAATATTTGAATATATGCCCAGGGAGTTTGCGTAAACCACATCCGCTTACGTTGGAGAAACATTCTCCTAGTTTGTTTTCTTGATTTCTTATTTAGAAATATATATTGTGTATATAAATGTACATCCACTAAACCTTTTTTTTTTTTTTGGTCTTTACGTTCATTACTTTCTCCCAGGAACCAACTGCTCTCTATAAACAATATCTTTGTAGTATCTATATGCTATGCCCAGGGAGATTGTGTAAACCACATCCGCTTACATTGAAGAAACATTTTCCTAGTTTTTTTTTTCTTCACTTGATTTCTTATTTAGAAAGATAGAAATATATATTGTGTATATAAATGTACATCCACTAAACCTTTTTTTTTTTTGGTCTTTACGTTCATTACTTTCTCCCAGGAACCAACTGCTCTCTATAAACAATATCTTTGTAGTATCTATATGCTTAATTAGATGTAATCTGTGAATAGTCAAGTCTAGCTGCCAAAAAAGTAAAGTTCAAGCGCTGCTTAGAGATCGATGCATGAACGATAATCCTTTTAGTTGTCATATGCAAGTACTTTTCTAGAAACTTATGAGGCAATATTTCTTGTTGGTTCACCAAACAAGGGAATGATGCCAATAGCCATGGACTCAGAGACTGTTACTGCAGTGCTTTCGTGGGATAGTGCTGTTTCTTATGTGTGCTTGAGGCCCATTAAGCCTTCGTAAAAATGTCACACACAGCACCGCACCCAAATTAAGTCAGTCACGCAAGGTACCCAAAGATAAAGAGTTATGTACAGCATCAGTCACTCCCGTGTATTTGCACTCCAAAATTAAAGATCTGGGATTTCGTATACAGTATATCATTCTGACGTTATCTGTGCATTGACATTCACATTATTATGACAGTTTGACAATAGCTTAGCGTGTGTGTGTGCATGTATTTGTACTGTATTCACTGATAATTATACAACAGTTTATTCATATTTAAGTAGGATATGCAATGAAATGTGTGTGGGTGATGTTATGAAATTGTCTATCATTGAACAAAGGGGACAAACTGTACGTAACTTCAAGAAAATTAAAAGCAATGCCTGTTTTGAAACATGTAATAAGAAACATACTAAAGATTTATATTGAACGATATTACAAACATTTTTTATTTTCTTTGATTTTTTTAAGAGTGTACATTATATGTAAGCCTTGAAAAATGTTCTCCCTGCAAAACTACACACAGTAGCAGAATCTCTGTACTTAATTGCTGTTATATCAGTGTGTCCATGTACATCTCTGTACTATGTACTTGTGAAAGTGCCTTTAAAAACTGTTTTAGAGGAACTTCATCCAAACGTCCTCTGTGCTGTGGCATTCTTATTTCAGATCCAGTATAATGAGTTGCTAGGGATTACGGTAAATAAATTATTACTAACGTTGTTCTGTTTATTAAGTTGTAAGAATGATCAAATAATAAAGATACTGCTTATCCATTGTGACATTGCACTTTTATGTGAGACTGTATATTTTGGCATGTAACATCCTAACAAGTTGTAGAGCTCTTGGGGGACTGCGCCGTCTTTCTAATAAAGAATATAGTTTGGTCAGTTCACTAAGGTGTTTGTTTGTGTCTCCTCCTCAGACCGTGTTGTTTTGAGAATGGTAAGATTGTATGTGATGAGATGAAGAAGTCTTCGCCATGTGATGCTTTCTCTGTAGCTTGAGATGTAAAAACAAAGACGGCAACTTAATGAATTCCCAGTCTGGGTTTGTAATGACAATTTCATCACAATGAAAGTAATGAGGTGCTTTTTCTCCCAGAATTCCTTTGGGAGTTCTGACCCTTACTTCACCCCATTAAATTTGTCAGTATAGGGATGGTGGCAACTATTTTAATGTTTTTTTTTATTTTTATATATATATAATTATTATTATTATGTGAAATGAAAGAGGCTGTGAGATACGGTCAAGGGTATTTAAAAAAAATAAAATAAATTGACCAACGAGTTTACTTTTCAGGTTTAAGATCATTTTGAGTTACAGTTGTAGCAACTAGTAGCTGCATTTGAACGCAGTCGGCTGCCATGGTGGTCTATTCTATTGTATGGTTTCCTGGAGATGCAGGCAGGAGAGGGCGCCAAAGACCAGCATCAGTTTCGCTTTCGTTTCCGTTTAAATGCCCCAAACCATCGGCTAAACTCAAGAAAAGTGAAAACGACTTACTGTCGTTGACGGCATCTACGAAAATGAACATCGTCTCTAGACACATATTCACCTTTATCTGCAAACATGAGGGCTGCACGGACTATGGTAAAGTCGAGAGGGATTTGCGGCAGAGTATCACGGTGGCGGATCAGGTTCTGTCTCAGGTGCTCGATGATCACCAGAGGTTTGTTATAGTTCAGGATGAAGACTCGAATCCCAGAAGCTCCATACCAGATAGTGACAGTCTGATCTTAGCCAAAACATCACTGCGACTGTGTAAACATGACAAATGTTCCGGGTGTGAAGACCTACACCTGTGCAGGTACTTTGTGTGCGGAAATTGCAGATTTGGGTAAGTAAACTTTGAGTTCCATCTTAGGCCAGTTGTTATAAATAATATGGAAGACTGTCATTTAGCATTTAATTAAAGACAATAAGGTATTGGAAGACTTTTTTTTTTACACGTATTCCTTAAAACTATCTAGCTTTTGTGTTTGTGTTAGTACTAGGCCTTGTTTATTTGTTTGTTTACTATTCAGTAGCGACTAGTAGCTTTAATTTAACTAGTGTAATATTACCACTGTTCGAAGTGACAACCTGACGACCATTGTTACATTGTTACATTGTAACATTGTTAGTTATGATATTGCAAAATTTGTCACTGAATTTTAGTATTCCATTTGTTGCTGGTGACTATTTCAGTTTCACTAGTAACTATTCATTAAACATGATGATCCATCAGGACCTAGGTCACTGGTGGGGAAAAATAACATAAAATTGCATTTTATGATTACAGCCACTAGAGGGGCCTATTGAATCCTATGGAGATACTTAAATGAGCCAAACAAGTGAAATCTTTAAAACTACACCAACTTGAGGCTTCATTAAACTTTCAGATATATCCGAAAACATTTAAAAAAAACTATATTTTGTAAAAAAAAAATTTTAATTGATACTGAATTTTAATCCAAACACATGCATATTCATACAGTTTCATAAATATGTAATAAAGATAAAAGAATGTAAAAAAATTAAAAATATAAATATGATATAAACTCATTGGTCTCCACCCCATCACTCAAATTTAACTGTAAGTCAAAAATTTTTTTTCAAAATGACAGTCATTTCTCAGCAGAAACATCATAAATGCTATAATGTCTTTCAATGGGAGTGTGTGTGCCATGTGTGTGTTTGTGTGTGTGCGTGTGTGTGTGTGTATGTGAGTTTTTTGTGCATTGGGGACATTCTGCAGTCTCAGCCCTTTGTTTGGGAATGCATCTTTTCTGGATTGTGTCAGATTTTATATAGAAAAAAAGACATAAAATTGCATTTTATGATTACAGCCACTAGAGGGGCCTATTGAATCCTATGGAGATACTTAAATGAGCCAAACAAGTGAAATCTTTAAAACTACACCAACTTGAGGCTTAATTAAACTTTCAGATATATCCGAAAACATTTAAAAAAAACTATATTTTGTAAAAAAAAAATTTTAATTGATACTGAATTTTAATCCAAACACATGCATATTCATACAGTTTCATAAATATGTAATAAAGATAAAAGAATTTTTTAAAAAATTAAAAATATAATTATGATATAAACTCATTGGTCTCCATCCCATCACTCAAATTTAACTGTAAGTCAAAAAAATTTTCTCAGAATGACAGTCATTTCCCAGCAGAAACATCATAAATGCTATAATGTCTTTCAATGGGAGTGTGTGTGCCATGTGTATGTTTGTGTGTGTGCCTGTGTGTGTGGGTATGTGAGTTTTTTGTGCATTGGGGACATTCTGCAGTCTCAGCCCTTTGTTTGGGAATGCATCTTTTCTGGATTGTATCAGATTTTATATAGTAAAAAAAAAAATCAAATAAATAAAAAAATGCTGTTTTTTTCGGACATTCCATTCATTCCTATGGCCGGGTCAACATGAATGTAATACTTGTGGGTGTAATACTTTTTTTTTATTACACCCACATAGAATCCTCAAATCGACTCCATGCTCCATGTGTGTGCTCCATACTCAAGTGTGACAAAATTAAATTAAAAAAAAATCCGCAGTTTTTTCGTAAATTCCATGCTTTTCCAGTGGCGGGTCAAAATGACCCGCGAGGGACACTTTTTATACTTTTTTTATAGCACCCACTTAAACTGCTCGAATTCACTCTAATTTTTTTCATGTATTCCCGGTTCAAGTGTGATAAATGTAAAAAAGTCTCATACCATAACGATCAACGATTAAAAAAAAATCTTTTTAAAATCTGACCCGAGGGACGGATGAGGGTTAACCCTCATCCGTCCCTCCCGAACCTATAACAAAAGTGTCCCTCACGGGTCAAAATGACCCGAAGGCCAAAAATTACACTAATTTTATTTTTGGTCCAGAAAGCTTATATTGGTCCATTTTTATAATTTTGTTTCTATTTTTTTATGTAGGTTTTTTTAAATTATTTTTTGGTGATTTTTATTTTATTCACATTAAATTCTGGATATTTTTATG